GGTTGGTCGGCCGTGATGCATTGACAGGCCTCGGTCTGACAAATGTAGTCACGCCAGGTATGGTGAAAACTCTTCTCCCGCGTGACTGGTTCTACATTTGCACAGCACGTTATGTAGATTGATACGCCTGAACCGTATAACGGATATATAGTTTATAGAAGCAGGGTCTCCAGTTGTGATGGAGAACTATTTACCTTCCGAGTCTATAAATAGACAGCTTGTAAGGTAGTACTTATCGGATATATTACCACCTTTCAAATAATCTCTCCCGTACTACGTACAGCAGCATATACCTTATTTACTGACATTAAACTAGATTGCCATACTAGTCTAAATACGGCAAATGGATGCTTGACAGACATTAATGCCGATTCTTTAGTTCCTGTTGCGTGTAAAATCCTAGCTCTTTTGGTTGGAGGTGCTCAACCGGGGTTATAAAGCCTCCCTTAGCCACAATATTGAAATTAATTTACGTTATAAGGTTTCGGTTGAGATTTCAATTCTTTTAAGTTTCGGATGAAATATCCCCGTCTTGTGTACACATAATTTCTGGTTTTTGTGGTTCAGATTTTGATTATTTGGGCCCAAGGGTTTGGTTAAGATTGCTGAGTAGAATTGTTGTTGTTATTGTTACGTACCATGATGGCAATCAGCAAGATCCAAGGTTCTCGTATTGCTGTAAGTAGCACAGCGACCTTTAGTACAATTGTAAAGGCCCAAAGAAGCGTTGATGAAGCACACGTAAGTCCGAGTCTAGGTTTATTCTACTAAGGTCGGTCGCATGTTACGCAGCAAAGAAGTGACACTGTGAACGACCGTTGTAGCTATTTATAGTCCGGCCGACGACTAAAGCTGATCTCGTTGGCTCACACGAAAGTGGTGCGCCAAAACCACTTAGGAGTAACGACGAGGGTTTTCACCCACACGAAAGATGGGCGCCCAAAACCCGCCAACGGGTTATCTGGTTTATCCTCGGCAAGAGGGTTTTACAAAAATGAAAATATTAAATCGTTTAGACTCGCTCTAATAGAACAAGCTAAGAAAAAAAGGGATCAAATATTTTTATGAACAACGTCAAAAGCCATCTGTTGTCCTGCCGGTTTTTCCGCAGGGCATAAGTGCTAGGATTGACGGTGTACATGTATGCGCTTTGATGAGAATGTTTGTCGCATTTTTTTTAATCTTCATACACCAGTGACCAATCAGAAGAACGCGTTAGAGAAAGTCGGATTCATTGGAGCAGTAACGGAACAGGTCAAAAGTGGTAACTGATCTGGACAAAACTCGATCACAGCCGGCCCAACTCACTCTCGACCTCGGCATGATTCCGAGGACTGTTACTCATCCTGGTTCTGACTTGGGATTCATATTTATATTTTGTTTGTTTTATATATTCTTTTAGCTAACGATATCGATAGCGCCAAGGAAAGTTGCCTGCATAGCTTGTATTCTCCAATCGTTCTTTGTCCTTATTGACCATATGCGACACCCTATTCACTTCCTTAATTATATCGTCTCTGCAGAAGATTATTCGAACAAATGTTCCGTGAGTAATGCTGTCACACACCCATACGATTGTGTGCGTATCTGAGTGTCCATCTGAGTGTCATACAGATATCGCATAAAATAAAGGTACAAAGAACCGTTGAAAAAACCCCTTGCGATGCTTGAAAGCCAGAACCAAATATAAGAAAGCAAGAGATAGGCAACAACCCTCTCGTCCTGTAACTGGTGTCTCCAATTAATTCAGCGCCCCAGATCACATGTAGATTTTGTTGCAGCTCATGATTACCACAGCCTCGACAACGCCAGTCTTCACGCACATCGCATGTGAATAATCCAAGAATTTTATAAACACACCGTCCCCATGAGCTTGAACACTTCCCCGTCCACACAAAACGTATACCCGGTATTCAGTAGTCCCTTCGTGGTACACACACACACAGACTACGATGTACACACCTCTCGGGTTCGAAGAACTTGCTGCCAAAATTATTGATGAATTTGTCCGGGTGCCAGCGTAGCATTGCTTTCCTGATCTTCTTCTTAATCACAGTCATGTCATCTTCATTATTGGCCGTACACTATGAATATAGAAGTGATAGGAAAGTAGCATCATAATATGAATAAGGAATGAACAGTCAAACTGATTGGTGCAAGGTGTGCGTGATAGGTGATCGCAAGAAAAAATTGAAAGGATACAGTATTCCTGCTCTACTTTAAGGCTGCAGTAGTTTGTTCCGAACATATCAACATTGTATGCGTAATCACAAAAACAGACCAAATGCACGGGCCAGAATGAGCATACATAAATTTATATGCATATATACGCAAATATACGGAGATATACATATACAAATAGATGCGAAGGACAACACATGTATATGAAATGTATTATTGATGTATTTTAAATTTAAACCAGCAAGGTACATGAAAAATGCGCAAATAAATCGGAAGTATTTCCATATGTGAATCTTCATGTAACTATGTGAAAATGTACGAATATGAAGATACAGTATGTGCAGATACATGCAACATACAATTATGCCGCAGTGATTATATAGCGGAACAGATATATCCCTCAGGCGAATCTGAGCTATAATAGTGTTCCGCTCGGATCTTGTCCATCGCGCCTCTTCGTTCTTAACTGTAAATGAATTAAATTGACCATAAGATATACACGATTTTAGTGGAAGAAGAGAAGGGTTACGACGACCAAATAGTAAGTAAGAGAACAAGATAAAGGGGAAAGAACAATCCAACATACAAGACGGAAACGATTGAACTCGACTATACAGACAAGTCACAGTCGCTAGAAATTCCGGGAAATTCCGGATTAAGAACACTCAGAATATGTACCAGTACCCTGTATACACACATATCACCTCATGAATGCAGTTAGGCGGATACAAACTACCCCTATGCCCAATCACACACACCTGCACCAGACATCATGTACACGCAAACCATTAGCTAAACGCCACTTTGATGCCCTTAGAAAACTAAAGAGTTGATCACCTCATATAAAACACACCCTTCCTCAGCTACCAATACACTAAGAAAAAAGGACCACTATCAACTTGGTAAACTACTTCTAAGCCTAGCACCGCAGCCATACATCAAACCACAAAATACCATATTAAGTAAAATGCGCCCTTTACCATCCAACTGTACACGCGTAGGTTATGAGCGAGTTAGCTTCAATTATAGCCACTCTACATCCAACTACCAAGTACACATAAAACCTTACATTGTAAGATTCGGTCTAATAAAGGCGATACTAATGCCTTAGAATAAATAAACGCGGAGGTAAATTCTATATATCGTGTAAATATCGATATAAATAAACGAAATGAGAAGTTAAATAAAGTTAGGTTTGCCTCGTGAAAACAGCAATACTCTGAGGGATTGTGAGGCTGAGACATTGCCTATATATAATCCTCTCAGTACTGTTTCCGCCGAAGGGATTTTATTTAGTGTTTCGTTGTCGCTCTATTCTGAGGCGAATCCGATAGACTCATAAAATCCTATCTTTAGAAAAAATAAATATAAATAAAAATACTCTTGACGTCTTTAGTTATTGTCTTAACCAATAACTTGCCACTATCAAGAATTACCGACTTAGCCTTCATCAGACTGGCACATCTGGTTGGCTTATCAGAGGATCAACTAGGTAACGTTAATAGTCCCTAGAAACCTATATTCGGTTGAGCCATCTCGCTACCAAAGTATTCAGATATAAATAAAATTGGAAAGTAAATAAAGCTCTATTAATAGAACTAGACCAACTCTTTTATGTTTGGCATTTTACTGAGGCCTTTTAATGGCCTCATCCAAATATCTGATATGTTAAATGGAAAAGGTTTAATTAATTAAACAATTAAAAACCATTTTAGGAAACTTAAGTTCCTCGTGCTATTAAGAGCACATTTAGGAGACTTAAGTTCCTCGTACTATTAAGAGTACATTTAGGAATCTTAAGTTCCTCGTACTATTAAGAGTACGTTTATAATTTGCGTACTGCTTAAGAGTACGTTTATACATAGAGTCTAATGTGGAGGCCCGGCTTACTACGCAGCCCCCACCCAGCTTTGAGACCCAAGAGAAGCAAGTTGCTCACTCAAGCTGATTATGGGTCAAAAAGGGAGAAAGGAAAAACGGGTCGAAACATTAAGTAGCATAACATATAGTTAATGTTTCTCAGGCGGAGAAGTTAAGTGTTCTCGGTTACTATGTGAGTTTTGGGCTTAGGCCCAGTAGGTCCATGGTGGTCGACTGGACGTTCCTTACTCTTCAGTGTCTTAAGTACATATGAAGGATGAGCAGTAAGGCTCGGGATAAATGCTGTAGGCGGATAAGTTTTAACTTCCGTTCCTTCAGACGATGGAAACATGCTATCTTTTTCAGCTTGTGACTTATGCAGGCGTTTACACCATTTTCGATTAAAGGCTTTTAAATAGTCTTGGATATAGAAAGCATCTGAAGTCAACTCAGCTATTGTACCGTCTATAAAGCGTGTACGATAGTATGTATAGCCTCCCTTATCCGTTCTCCATATAATGTCTTTAAATTCAGAACGATCAAGAGGGGCATTAGAGTCATGTCTTCTTGCGAGTATAATCTCTGTAGTCGGAATACGACTTGTGCCTATATTAAGCGCACTAGAACCATCGGGGTTATTTACCTCGTAAGTTCCACTTTTAGTGTCTGCTACAGAGATTATGTATGGACCTATCCATTTAGATGTTAATACAGTAGTATCGGAATTACGTTGACGGATGTTAACTCTGTCACCAACCTGATACTCTGCAATCTTCTTGGTAGTGTTCCAACGCTTTTGCCTTTTTAATAAGGCTATATTGCGTATTTCTCGCAAGCAAGGATATACAACGTTATAAATACGTTGGACCTTCTCTAACCATGGTAACTCATGGTGATCGGGTTCGTCCTTGTTAAAAGGGATTTGTAACTCACTATATCTGCCACGAAAATAGTGAGCGGGTGTAGTTCCTGTAACCGGATCAGCACACTCGTTCATTTGTGTTTGTACCCACTGAAGGTGGTACGGCCAACCATCTGCATCATCCGTTAATGCAGTACGCAAGAAGAACTTAAGTCTTCTAAGGCGCGTTTCATTCGCGCCTTGCGTTTGCGGCTTATATGGCACACCTCTCTTATGGCATATGCCTGATACGAGTACTAGTGATTCCATAACGTCATCGCAGAACTCACTACCGTTATCAGTGCACATAATACCCGGCCACCCGTGGTCAGCAAAGACTTGGCAACATAATTCTGCCACGGTCTGCGTATTCTTATCCTTTAATGGATATAGCAAGTTAAACCGTGACACCATATCAAAGAAGTGGCATACGTAACGGTCACCTGTGTGCTCGGACGTGGGCAGGTCAACCAGATCAATGATGACCCTGCACCATGGAACATCTTCAGTCACACTCTTAAGCGGTGCAAAACCATAGCGCTTGATCTGATTGAGATCACAGTCTGTGTATGACTGATATACTCTGTCAACTAAAGTTGCCAGTTTAGGGTGCGCGATCCCATGTCGATTAGCATCTTTAAGTGCTTCTACTACGTTCTGGTGCTTCAGCTTATGGTGTTGCTTCAGCCAAGCAAGAATGTTTTCATCATTCTGCTCTTCCAGAATAAAGGTAGGGTGTTGAGAATCCACTTGCGTGGTCTCTAAGTCTGTGGTGTTTTCAGACACCTGTCCTGTTTTTGCATGAGCGTCATAATCGCGCTCATGTGCGTTAGATACACCTGACTTATTATATAGTCGCATTATATGTGTATACGCTTCAGGATTGTCTTTCATTAATCCCTTTAAAAATAAGGTTTGAAAGACCTCGGGCTTGGGCTTTATGTTATTAAACAGAGTCCTAGCTAGAGACTGACGCTTCTTAACAGTGTCATTAGTAGATTGTATTTCTTGTGCACAGACGTTAAATGCTGTGTTGCCTTTGAACTGCTTAACGTTCAATTGGGTAGAGAGTGCAATCTCTGATTCTTTGACCTTGTTAAGGAAGATCTTAGAAGGAGTCCAGTTGGTTGTTCCAATGGGACCTATACGACATATAATAGTATGTATCCAGGGCGTCTTCTGGACGGCTCGGGTACCCTAATATAGGAAAGTATCTACTTCCCTATTTAAATATATTGGCTCGCATTGAATCATGCTGATCAATTTATTGAGCCATGGATCTTTACTCTATATTGGGCAACACAGCGTGATGGTAGCTTTATGTATATGAACATAATTTAATAGCTGGGCAATTAACTGCCATGGTGGATTAGCCCACGCATTATGTTGGGAGAGGTCTATTTGAAAGGCGTCTCCTATAGGATGATTTAAAGTCCTGTAATTCGATAGTTGTGCATTATGATGTGCAGCAAACATATCTATGGTATGTGGCCCATATATCTTTTGAGCTAGATCAAACCACCTGGGATTACACTTCCAGTCAGTGGCTAGTAACTCACGTACGGATTTATTAAAGTCCGGTACGAAGCGTGATAACATATCCGGTAAATAGTTATGTATACCTGGCAGATGTTTTTTTATCAAAATGAAACTTTGATATTGTATCATGCCAGCGACTCAGTAATTGCGAGCCGGGTTTCATCTCTTTCATATATTGAAGAGATTTCTGATCACACATCAGCGTAAATGCTGTTCCGTATAAGTAATCTCGGAAGTGTGTTAGAGCTGCCGCTATGGCGAATAGCTCTTGTTTAACAGTTGGATAATTCAACTGTGAAGCATTCATTGCTCGACTAAAGAATTGTATATACCTAGGTTTGTTATCTATAGCCTGATATAATACTCCTCACTATGATACTTCCGATCCAGGCCAGGAAACACATACCGAATTCATCCGTGGTCTGGTGCGGCATTGGCTTACCCCCATCCTCGCTTCTCGACCGGATTATGACGGATAACCTGGTCCTTCTCGGTATTTCGTACTCTGCACTAACCCATTCCGCGGCACTACACGGCGCAGACCCGATCCGTACCACAGAGATGAGTACTCTACTTAGTAGGTCAGCAAGAGAATATATGGAACATTCGATAGTAACGTTTTTTGTCAATACCGGCCCGAATTGACTCAGCACATATCGTCCATTGTCGACTCACTTGGCCCAAGCTTCAAATGGGAATTTACTGACCACTTTTCCCCATCAATCTTTCCTGAACCACTACAGCGACTATGAGAGCCATACCATATGTTCATACATTGTACCATACATACTTGCCATTTTTGAAATAAATAATATTATCCCTAAGGCTAAGCCTGATGCGTCCGTTGCTATTTTAAACGGCACGCCATCGACTGGCCCTTGTACAACTGAGGCTTGTTGGACTGCGTGTTTGAGCGCTTTGAATGCGTCATCACACTCTTTAGTCCACAAGTCTCCTAGTTTGCCTTTATGACATCTTAAGTGTCCAAAAAGTTTAAGGTAGTCAGCTAAGTGTGGTACTCCATCTGAAAAGAAGTTTACAAACTCACACATGCTGTTAACATCTCTTCCTGTAGTTGGTGTTCGCTAATCTAACAGGTGTTCTACCTTACCGGGGTCGATCTTAATACCTTCCCCCAGATATATAGAGCTGTATTTTGCTCATTGCGAAGTGGCATTTCTTCTCGTTAATCTTGAAGTTTTGCTCATTGAGTCTCTTAAGGACTTGTCTGACTAATGCGGCGTGTTCGCCTGTAGTCTTAGAAAAGATGACTATGTCATCTATATAGACTTGCACGTTAGGCATGTCTGCAAACATTTTTAAAACCCTTCTTAGAAGGAGTGTTGCCTTTCTTGGTCATAATCTTAACTTATGACTACTAGCTTGTCTCTTAACGACTAACTTAGACAAAATTGTGAAGGTCTGTACGTCCCGCAGGCCAGACAGGTTTGCCTATAAATGGGTGGGGAAG